GCCCTGTCCTCCAGGCTGGTGGACACAGTCAGGGGCTGGGTTTCAGCGCTCAGATGGCACTAGTCAAGACTAGACAGACTGTCACTCTGTATAAGTCACTCAATCTCAAGGGACTCAATCCCTCTAAAGGTGATGGGGTTAGCTAACACCTAAGGGTCCCCTCCCTCTTCCCAGTTCGCAACTGAAATCTGGCAATATCCAGTGGAATACTGCAAACTGAGGCCCTGAAACACTAGGATTCTGTGGACTGAGTTGAGCCTTTAGAGTTTTCGTGATATTGCATTTTTTCCCCCCTCACATTTCTGATTTTTTTTCTCTTTTAATCTTAAGACTATACTCTTCCTTCAACTCCAAAGAGCTTGTTTTTTCTTGAGCCATCAAAAGTTCACACTCAACTACATCAGCCCCAAACTACTCAAATGTCCATCCATAGGATGGATAAACTGGGTATCTTCATTCACAGAAATAAAAGAAAAAAGAACTACTGCTACCTGCATCAATTTGGACATGACACTATGTTAAGCCAAAGAAGACACAAAACAGAGCTCAAACTGGATTTCATTTAAATGCAGTCCAAGAGCGGGTTAAAACCAACCCTGGCAATAAAGGGCAGAACAGTGGTTACCCTTGCATCGGGGACTCTGACTAAGGGAGAGGCTTCCGGGGCTGGAAATGTTCTGTTTCTTTATTTGGATGCTGGGTGCCTGGGTATGATCACTTTTTTAAAAAAATATATATTTTATTGATTTTTTACAGAGAGGAAGGGAGAGGGATAGAGAGTTAGAAACATCAATGAGAGAGAAACATCTATCAGCTGCCTCCTGCACACCCCCTACTGGGGATGTGCCCGCAACCAAGGCACATGCCCTTGACTGGAATCGAACCTGGGACCCTTGAGTCCACAGGCCAACGCTCTATCCACTGAGCCAAACTGGTTAGGGTGTATGATCACTTTTTGCTTACACTTCTGATCTGTGCGTTTTTCTGATTTATGTAACTAACTATTCGATAACAAGTTCATTCAAAGAAATTATGCCATGGGAACCCCCCCCCCCCAAAAAAAAGCAATCTACTAAAACTAGACAGCTACCTACAGGGAGAAAAATGATTCCTTTTCATTTAATGTTAAGTAGACAGAGAACCACCTGAGAAGCTAAGTAGAAACTTCATTAATATCCTAATATATTAATCCAGAATTTGGGAGAGACTCCCGCCACCACTGCTGCACTTGCCAGTTGTGAGCCTGGCTTCTGGCTGAGCGGTGCTCCTCATGGGAGCGCACTGACCACCAGGGGGCAGCTCCTTTGTTGAGCATCTGCCCCCTGGTGGTCAGTGTGCATCATAGCAACCGGTCATTCTGCAGTTTGGTCAATTTGCATATTAGTCTTTTATTATATAGGATACCCCAGGATAATCAATTCAGAATATTGAGGTTCTTAATAGATGCTTTGGCCAGAATTATTGTAATTAACCACATTACCAAAATCACCTAGATAATGCCCACATCTCCACCGAATTTCCTGCTATACAGCTCCAACTCCACAGGTGGGGAAAGGCATTCAAGAAGATGCTGTGTTACAGACAACTACAAGGACACTCCTGCAAACCCCACCTTCTTCCTTCGGCCTGTATGTGTTCCTCTGTGAGTTTGTTTCAGCACCACCTTTTTCTCTTCCTCGGGTCATACAATCAGCTGTCAGATCAGTAATTTCTTTCCCCTTCCCAGTGTTCAATAATCCCTCTTTGATCAACGTGGTACACTGCACAATCACTCCATTTGATACACATAAAAAGTGATAGTACTCACACTTGCATTAGAAGTAATCATATCACTAATTCATATGAGGTAACTAGAAGCACAGCTTGCTTGTTTTCACTCAAAACTCCGTGATAACTTCTGCCATCAGTACTTCTGCAGAGCCCCTCTGGTCCCAGAGCATGGGGGTAGGTAGCTGTATTTCTCCCAAATGCTAGGGCACAAATTAAATGTTTGAAGAATCATTAGAGCTTAGCCAAAAAAAAAAAAAATGTTTCCAGTCTTTGAAGTGGGAAGTGGAGTGGGGTGAGGTGGGGTGGGGAGACACAACCATAAGATCCAGTCCCTGAACACGACTGAACACCAAACTAGTGGTTCAACACAAATGCAGGCAACGTTTCCATGGTAAGTATCACTTAGCACTATTTCATGCTGAATACAGACCTTATAGAGAACCTTAATTCTAATCCTTTCTTCTCAGCTGAAGAGATCTTAATCTTTAATTCCCACTTTTAAATAGAAAGTTCTCCCGACTTCAGGCTTGTTTTAAATACTCATCCTTCTAAGTTTAGATTTTCCTTGCAATTCAATGCCCAGCATTCTACTTCCTCCTTCCTCTCAAATTATCCCTTTAACTTGTTTTTACTTATTTTTACAGGCCCCCAAAGCCTCTTCCTCAGGAATAATGTGCTATTCAAAAAGCCTTCTCCACCACCCCTATATCAAAGTTTAACTACAGAGGCCAACAATACCATTTTTCCTGTTTGTGTTTTAGGAAAGATACCGTTTAACTAAAATTTCACCACTCATAAAACTCCTTCCCTAAATCTTTCCTACCCACCCCCTCCTACGCTTGATTGCTTTATACACAATCACAATGTAATCAAACTCCCAAAATGTGTAATTATATCATCATACAAAGACTTCCCTAAATATATATAATTTTAAGTGTGTAACACACACCCTTTATAACTTTGATGCTGGGGCTACAGGCTGAAAAATGCTGGAGTTTTCTTACAAGTTGTGTGCATTGTTTCTCGTTGGCATGGAGGAGAGGGGAATAAGAAGATCATCATACTAGGACCAATTGCTGAATCAGAAAACACAATTTTTGTTCCAGGAGGATTCTACTGAAGGTTGTAAACACACTTAAAATTTTTTTGTCTTTAAAAGAGGAGAGCTGAAATTGGCATAACTGAAAGCCAAACCTATGCATTGCCCATCAGGACACACAATACTGAATACCTCGTTTCCCCACTTACGAAATAGGCTCCATCTCCCAAACCAGAGCATTTATGAGGTTTGTATTAATGAGTAATTGGAAAAACCCATCTCTGCGTAAATGCAGAAAGCTTTCTGTTCTTTGGAATGCCTAAAACAATATGAAAATGACTTTAGAACAGGCCCGTGAAATTTAGTTCTGAAACCAGAAAACCACCGAAAGGATAATTTGTGCATGCCATCTGGGATCCAGGCAGCCTCGTCAACAGAAGGGGAAACTTGTTGAGATCATCCAAATCTAAAATTCACATACATTTTTACATCTGGACTGAATTAATCTTTTCTTGGTACTGGCTTTCATGTAATAAATTTTTTTAACCCCGTAGCCTTAGACATCAAAATGTGCAACATCCAAGTTGAAAACTACAAAGAATTCCTTTATCAAAAAAGTTAGTTGTGCGACAGGACTCATTTACACTAAACTCTGAACTTGACAGCTCAGTCAAAAACAATTCCGTTTGAAACTTTCATTTCAAGCATCTGCCACAAAAGAAGGCTACACAGCCTATTATGTCATTGATTCTGAAAGCCAAAACCTTTATAAGTGAAGTTAAAAGTGGAAGCAAAGTACAGAAACTAGCAAAGCTCTTCCACCTCCCCTTCCCCCCAGATTCAGCTAGCCTCGTTGAATGAGTTTTTAAAGAACTTGTAGCTAAAAATTATTACCTAAAAGACATTTTGCCTTCAAAAGCAGTCTTATCCTGGCCTGTATTGTTTTCCTATGGAGCTAGGAGCATCTTAAACCTTCCAGTTGAAATTATGTATTTGAAGCTGGTAGGTTACCCCTGTTGACCTCCTAAAAGGAGGGGGTGCAAATAGAGAAAGATTTCCCTGTTCCTTAAAATGTTTTGAGCACTGCAAGAGCTTTGGCTAACTGGCTAACTGTGGTCCATAAGTGTCAGATCTCAGGCATTCTTACAAGCTAATTCAAAGGGGGGGGGGCAGAGGGGGAAATTAGTTCATATTACAGTCAGTCTGCTTTCTGGAGAAGATACCCTGCAGATAACTTGATAGTAGATATCCCCTGGAGGACCCTCCTCATCCAATAACCCCAAAGGCCCATTTTAATATGAAATATAAGTCCAGTATGTTTACAAGTACACTAAAATGTCAGTTGTCTCATACCGTGGAGTATTTCCATTTTTAACATAACAGAGTACTTTTGTTTCTCAAAACCACATCCAAGGAAAACGATTCAGTTCTAGAAGTTTTATACGACAGTACAAGGAAGAATAGCAAACGCATCTGTTTCCCTGCCTCTCACTTCTCGACTCCCCTCCCCCACTCTCCATCCTGCAGGCTGTTTGTAGGTTTCCGTGGTTGTTAAAATTACTCTCTACAGTGGTCTCAAAATGCTGTTGATCCTGAAAAACTTCTTATCCTTGGTCATCGCTGAGCCTAAATTTAGGCACTGCTCTAAAGGAGAAAAATCCCAAAGTCAAAGAAAGTGTTTTTAATGACAGATGTACTACGGAAAATTTCCCCCACAAAGTTTTGATGCTGTGAAATATCAACTCCCTGAAATCACAGAAAGGAAATGACTTACATTCTTGGAAAATGAAGCCACTAGCACCACTAGCAGCTTTCTCCAGCAGTATTTTCTAGTCCGTAAACTACACCCTGTGGCAAAGGGGAGTATTTCCTGCAAAAACTAAATTTAAAGAGATGCTTACAAAACTCATAAACAAACAACGTCGGGTCCCAGAGAAGAAGAGACTGAATCATACATGGAAAACCCGCCAAGAGATACTTTTTCTGAACATTTCAAAACAAAACAAAACATAAAAAAACACACACACACAAAAACTGGAGAGCAAGGGCTTGAAGTCAAAAGCAATCCGAGAACATTGCTTAAGTTTCCTCCCCGCCCCCCTCCCCGCTGTGGGCAATGCACAGCCCGAGGGAAATACTGGCAAAAGAGATTTGTGCTAAAAAGTAAAACCGAAAAGGGTGTCGAGAAGCTAATATTTCCCTGGACAAACAACTGCATGGCCTGAAAACCTGCCAGCTTTCACTCAAACTTTAAAATATGCTTATTTTGACAGCTTTCCATTTATTCGTGCCTTTAAGAAATCGCCCTCACCATCTGATTAAGCCGTCCCGGGACTCAAGGTGCTGCTCCAGTCCCTGTGGACCTCACAGTGGTGCCCCCCGCTGTCCATACCTGACAGTCCCTGGCCATCCCGGAGGAGAGGCTGGGGGTCCCCTCCGCCTGGGCCCGGGCCTGCGCGCCGCAAGCTCCTCCGGGAACCCAAAATCTGCAGGCTGCGCCCCGCGCTCGCATCCCACCGAGGCCCCCTTCTGGCGCCGCCGAACTCTGACTCAATCTCCGGCTCCCCCGACCAGGCACTTTCAGGGACGATGGGACAGACAGATGCTGCGCGCGGGTCCCTTCCCGCA